CGGATTGTCAGCGATTTGAAGGAACAACTCATGGTGGGAGTTTAGCCAAAGGGAAAAAGAGACGCGGGCTCAGAACGCACAATATTTGGCCGCGAAAGAAGAGGAGTTGCGTCGCAAGTATGAGGCGGAGCGAGACGCGGCGGTGGCGGCGGCAACACAACGACTAGAGCAGGAGCACATAAAATCCCTTACGGAATCATACAACAACGACGGGGTGCTGCGCGATCGATTTGCTCAAATGAGTCGCGAAAGTGAGCGGCTGCGTGTTGAGGCAGAGTTGTTGCAAGAGCAACTGAAAAGCGCCCTTGACGCAATGAATAGAAAGGAGGAGGAGATTGTGCGCCTGCGTGAGGCTGCGGAGTTGACCGAACAGCGGGTGAAGGCGATTGAGGATAGAATTCGTGGCGAATGCGAAACGAGGCTGCATGTACTTGACACGGAGTGGCAGCGAAAACTGCGCCAGTTTGAGATTCGGCATGTGGAGGAGGTGGGCGGGATGCAGCACGAGCTGGAGAAGGCGACCATAGAGTTGGAGGCTGCGAAGAATGCAGCCGCCTTAGAGCAGAGGAATATAGAACAGAAACACAACGCAGAGCTTACGAGCATTAACGAGAGAGTTTTGGTGGCACTTGCCACGAAGGACAACACCCTGAAGGCACAGACAGAACAGATCAGTCTTTTGCAGGAGGCTCTTCGACTGCGTGATGAGCACATCGCCAGACACAGGGAGTTGCTTTGAGCGATTTTGCCACAGTAACGCGGTTATTGTTTAGTTCCGTTTGAACCTTTTAATACCATGAGTGACATTTATTGGAGGGAGGGAGAGACGATGATGAGGGGGGAGCCTCCGAAGTGTCTGACGCGTTTTTTTTTTTTTCATCCGGCGGTTCTTCTCTCACTCGCTTTCCTTCTTTTCGTGCTCTTTCGACAAGGTTGTGTAGGGCGAGGAGAGCACTGCAGTAGTGAACGATGCAATCTTTAAGCTGCTCCTCCTTTTACATGAAGATGCGCCAGACATATGCCCCCGTGGCGTCGCAACGGCGCCCTGAGTTGATGAGGGCCTCACCGCCCTTAACACGGGAAGCCGGCATCAATTCTATAGAGATATTTGGGTCGCCACTGGAGATGATGACACCGTCGCCATCATTCCGCGGCCCATCCGCGGAGGGGCACAGTAGCGCGGGCGCAATTGCGGAAATCCAACGGAAACTGACTGCTATCCAGAGGAAAAACGGCAAGCCGCAGTACCAACAACAAAATGATCGAAAGGAAGAGCAGCAGCAGAAGCAACAGAAGCAGCAACAGGACGCTTCTTATTCTAACGCATTATTTGACCCGGAAAAGGGTGGCAACCCCATAAAAGGGATAAGCACGGCGTTGGAGCAAGAGGTGGACTCGTTATCTCCCGTGCTATCGTCTCCGTCTTCACGTTTCTCCAATGAAAACGATTTTTCCAAGAAGCAGCCCTCAATGCCTTTATCGCCTCCGGTCCCAGGGCACAAGGGGACAGGTGAAGACGAGATGTTGACGCCACAGGAGATGGCCTTTTTGCGTGTCGTCGAGTTTGCCGTTCCTGTTTCTGTGCACGCGCAGCTGGAGCCCGGGGCCACTCTTGTTAAGTTGTGCGACAAAGTGACAGTGAAGCTGTTTCCTTCTCATTTGGTCCTTATTCGTCCGGACGGCGTCGCGGCTGTTGAGTTGGTTATTGAGGAGCTCTGCGAGCTGAACGAGGACGAGGGCGCATGCGCACTGGACTGCATTGTTCAGGCGAGGGGCACAACGCGTCGGCGGCTTATTCGTGTCATCTGCACAGACGCGATTGCACGTGGCGCACTTTTCAAACTCCTATGTGCGAGGCGAACACAGTTGGAAGACTCTGGGCGGCTGGGCGAACGCACTTGCGGGTCCGTTGGGAGAAGCTGAAGGACCGTGCCTTTTGAATCTATCGTTGGTCCACCCCTTTTTTTTTTGTATTTTTTTTTTTAAATATTTCCACCCTTCAGTGTGTACCGTTCCCACAAATGGTGCGTGTTAATTGGCCAAAGACGGAAAAAGAAGAGAAAAGAAGGTGAATAAAGACAGGGGGCGGTACCGTCCTTTTTCCTTTATTGTCCGCTGCTTTACGTGCAAGCTGCGCGGGGTGACGTTGCTGTTTCCTTCATGTGTTTGAATAAACATCTCTTCTTGGGTGGTTGAAGGCGTGCCGGGTCAGGGAGACTGGGGAGGGCAAAGGGAACACAGCACCACGCGGTGAGTGGCAAGAAAGGGGAAGAATAATCAGGAAACACATATACACACAGGCAGAAAAAAGCAATAAAAACGCAAATTTGTGCATTTTTTATTTTTTATTTGTTGTTGTCGTATTTTATGAACATGCACTTAGGAACACATAACGTCAAGGAGTTTTGGACTACCGTGTGGAAGACGCAGAACACTGGATGGAAGCTGGGGGAGCGAAGCGCTCCCTTCACACGCATTCTGTTTGCCTTCTTGAATGGCGCGGGTATCCTCTCCGCAGAGGAGCTCAAAAAGGATCCGTATGATGCCGTTTTGTGCTTCCTTGCGGGAAAAACGGTTTTCGCCCCGCTTTGTGGCGACTCGGCAATTATATCTTACATGGTTGGTTGTCGGGTGAAGCATGTTGTTGGTGTCGACTTGAGCGAGCAGGCACTGAGTCTACAGTGCCAGGTCAACTTTCCAAATGTACCGTTTCAAACGACGCGACTGGATCCCGTTGAGGGGACCGCAGGAGATTTTGTGGTGCACGAGGCCAGCGTGGGGGATAGCCGCGTTACTCTTTTTCAGGGAGATCTTATGCAGTTGCCTTGTTTCAAGGCATACAGCGAGCTGAAGGTGGAGTTCATGTACGACCGCGCCTCTATGATGGCGATCCCTCCCGATATTCGTGGCGCGTATGTGCAGGCAGTGACAAGGGTTTTCCGTGCAAATACGACGGTTGCGTACGAGCGGATGGTGCGTGTTTTGCCAGAAGAGCGTCACTGGGGTCCGCCCTTCATGGTGGACATGGATGAGGTGCTGCAAATGTATCGGGAATCTACAGGACGAGAGTACAGGGCGACGCGCGTCTTGGCTGATGAGGTGGAGGGCACCCTTTGCCCCGAGTGGTACGCGATTGTGCCGCACAATTAGATGTCTTCTGTGCATTTAATTCACTGAACAAAATCTCTGTTGCTTCATATATCTATTCACACACACACACTGGAAAAATACATGTACGCTGTCGTATTTATTGCAGGTGTAACTCTACCAGAAGAAGAGAGAGTGTTGATGGAGGAGGGGCAGAGGAATAAGCAACAACAAAAATAACAACAAGGAAATGGAAGAAAACGTGTTATGCTCCAACTGCGCGCGTAATATGTGCCTCAAAAAGGTTGTTATTCTGTCTGTTTTCCTCTTTTTAAGTGAGGTGAGTAGGCAGAAGGCACAATGGCCCAACGCGTTGCCATTCCTGATGACTGCGTATACGAGGGATACGGTAATCTTTACCGCGGAGATGCGGAGGTGACACCGCCCCAGCCGATTGTGGGAGCACGTGGCGGCAATGGTGTCTTGTACGGCACCATTGATAGCGAGGAGGCACTGCGGCAACTCCGCACCGCGCTCCGCGTCGACGTTCATCCGCAGCTGAAGGCGCTCGTGCAAGAAAAGAAATTAGACGAAGTGGCGTCATCACCGGCAAGCCTGCCCTGGCTGGTCTGTCGCCCGAATGCACTGCCGTTGAGGACGTTGCCTTCGTCCTTTTCATCAGGGACGCGATATGAGATTGAGCGGATGAAATCACAGTGTCGCTTTCTGCGTGACTGGCTTATGTGCCACGAAACTCCTGAGGAACGTGTAGAAGCGAGGGAGTTTTTGCGCACGGCACAGCGCCTCCTGCAGAAGGAGTCTGTGGAGGAGCTGTTGGGTCGTACAGAAAACCTGCTCCAGCAGCTGGAGAATTGGCCCGCTGTGGTTGAAAAGGCCCGTCCCCATATAGCAGAATGGAACAACGACAAATCATTGACTGAGTTGCGTGAATTTGTCGGGGATGTGCTTGGAACAGATGAGGTTTGCGCACGACTGTCGAAGTTGACATGTCGGTTCTCGCTTCTTGCTCCGTTGTTAGAAGAGGCGGCTTTCCGCTCGGCAGCACTGGAAGAAATGGAGCAGTGGTCCTCCGAGGCTACTGTTTCTTCTTTGCGTTCCTTGCGGGCTTCCATTCACGACTGGGAGCTGAGGGTTGCGAAGGATCAGCAGAACGTGCTGGACAGCTCCCAATTGCTGCTGGAACGCATTGCGGCCGTCAGGAATAAAAGAAGAGAATCTGCGGGGGATTTGACATGAATTTATTTTCCGCTTGTTTTTCCCTTTTTTTTTTTTTTGCCCGCTTCTTCCTTTTTTGTGCACGTTATGATTTGCAATAGTCTGTGTCCCCCTTTTTTTTTCTCTGCAACTTCTCCGCAATTTACTGTTCCTCATGTATTCTTCTCTTCTCCCTTCCTTATAAACACGCACAGTTGTCGCATGAGTCTTGTGGCGTTACCAAATGCCGCCGAGGAGATGGCGGAGGATGTCTTCTTCACTTTCCGTTTGCTCTCCCCTGGCGGCGAGGCGTACATTCCGCCCTGCTTCATCATGACAGCAGCCCGGGAGATGGGATACTACCCCACTTCGCAGTGCCTGCGGAACTGCCTGTCAGAAGTCATCGGGCGAGGAAAACGTTTGACTTTCCCCCTGTTTCTCAAACTGTGTTCTTCCCTCGAGGCGACAAGAACGCTGAACACGGGGGCTATCGAGGAATGCAAGCGGGTCTTTGACGTCCGCAACTCTGGCACGTTGAATAGAGGTGAGTTTCGTACGATCTTGACATCATCGGCTGCGGCAGAAATGACCTCGAGCGAGGTTGAGGCCATCGTGGAGTTGTTGGATCCAGCCCACACAGACGCCATTCAGCTCTGCGCTGTGCAGATGATTCTAATGCGTTGTCTTTCCAAGGATGCGAGGGCCATCGATGACTTCTTCTACACCCCACGGAGTGCACGCAAAGAGGTTTCGCAGCCAGTGGCTGGAGGGGACGACCACCATCTTCAGCCCCTTGCGTTAAATTTTGTTGAGGGCGACAGGAAAGACCTCTCGCGCGACTCAAAGAATTTGCGTGCAAATAACAAAGAGGCGGTGAGGCCATTGAAGGCAATCGAAGTTAATGGCAGGTGCGCAAGCCGCCCTTCGCGTGGGTGTGTGAATACGCTGCAAAGGAAGCGACAAAAATCGCCTGTCCCAACGGCGCCGGATGACGCATCGGATGATACCGCTGAGGAATCATTGATTTACCTCCACCCGCCCAAAACAACAGCACCATCACCCTGCACAAGCGGCCCTGTTACGCGAGCTACGAGTCTGCAGCAGGTCCCTCCACTCCGTGAAGAGCCTTTATCGCGTTTGGAGACGCCCACACCACCCAGTGAGGTCGCGGCTCCAGCCTCTTTGCCAATCGGGGATGTGGAGAAGTCATTCATGAGAGGGTCGCACTGTTCGATGCCTCCTTCCCAGACATCACACACCGTAGTGCCGTCTGCTGCTGAGCGGGGGAAAACGACTAGGGAACAGGATGGGAGAACGACTTTGGTTGCAAGTAAGAGCCGCTTTCTCGGGAGTGGCACGAGAAGAACGTTACCGGAGCCTCCGCTAGAGGAGTTGAGGGAAGTTTCTCTGGGTGATTCATGCGTGCTTGGCAACACGAGTGATGTTGTGCATTTGCATGAGGATGTTGCTGCCGCTGATGCCACGGTCGAGGGCTCTAGAGTTCTCCAAAGCACGCACGGGTCACAAGGCGCTGCCAATGAAAACGCTTCCGGCAGAAATCAAGTAAAAAAAAAGAAGGCATGGGTTCATAACTGCTGCATACAGTCTTAGCAAATGCTTCACGTTACCTGAAAGGATCAATTAGGAAAAAACAAACAAACAAAGCATTTTTTTTTTTTTTACTTTCATCCGTTTGGTTATTAGATACTTTTGCGCCTTCCCCTTCTTTTTCTTTTTTCCGGGTTTGCATTTGAAGTCACGCCGGAGAAGCGGGGTGGGGACTCGTGCAGATGGCCACGGCCATTCTCAGTGCTCTATTATATATATATATATATATATATATACAGATTATATTGTATGCGCATGTACACATGTAAGCTTTTTTTTTTTCATGGACATTTACTTTTTTTTTAAAAATTCTTGTGATTACTCCTGTTTGTATGCATTTGTGTAAGAGGGTGGCACCCGTCGTTCTACACATTGTTTTCTCTTAATATTCCATTAAATTTACTCTCCCTGATCTCTTGTTTTTTTGATTTTTTTTTTTTCTGCATTCTGCAGTTTTTGAGGGTTGGAATTAGGAAAATACATTAGTTTTTTTTATTTTTTCCAACTTTGTGCGAGGATTTTAGACATGAAGCACACGCTCTCCAAAGAGCAGCTGGCGGATTTTGCACAGCAGGCTGTCATTAGTATACGACGTTTTATGTCCTCTAGTCAGGAGATTATGACGTTGACACAGCAGGATCTTATCTCCACCTCCAAATCGATAGAGGAGTCTTGGCGGAAGAGGCGAATTGTCCCAGACATAACGGTGGTGGAGCTGTGGGCGATGAGCTTTCAGGAAGAGCTACTTTCCCAGTTGGAGGTGTACAGTAGTAATAGGGACAGCAACAGCAACAGTCAGTTAACAGAGAAAGACGGTGCCCCAAATGTCTCTTTAGCAGGCACTTCATCAGGAACGAAGAGTGCAACACGGAAGTTTATTGGCGAGTCATCTTTGTTGGCGTGTACGGAGGTGCTGAAGATCCTTCTTCGGACCAACGGTGAAAAGTCAGCTGAGGTTTTTACTCGCTTCCATTTAGCAACTCATGTAACAAAATACCTAATGCGGGCTCCTATGAGTAAGAAGATGCGAGACGCCTTTGCCTCAGTATTGTTGGAGATTGCGGGATATAACTCCCTGCTTCTTGAAGAATTTCTTTCTGTGAGTCATGAACTTTTAGTTTTTCCCGAGGGATCCGGAAGCGGAAATGTAGTGACCCCACAACAAGTGCAGCTGGCGTGGTTGCTCTCGTCCGTTTTTCGTCGAGTGGATGTGAACAACGTCTCGGCCGATAGTGCACGCATTCAGTGTGGACGGGATGGGTTTTTGTCCGGGATTATCCGCACTTGTTCTTTACTTTCTGGGGGCACGGCCGAGGGGGGAAACGAGGGGATGCAGTTTACGGCCTTCCTTGTCTATTTTGGGTTAGTAAATTGCATGGTGCGTGGGTGTGCTGCCAACAAGGCATTGTGCAGGGGGGAACATCGGGACGAGCTTGTAAGACTGTGGGTCATTGCCGCCTCAAACGTGTCGAAGGTCGAATTCTCGCTGCCTATACCCACGAACGTGCCCGGAAAAGATGCCAGCCTTGCCGTGGAGGGAACGCAGGCCTGGGCCTCGGAGCTCATTGAATTTTTGGTGGAGGTTGCGACGAGCGACAGCTTCTCCCTTAGGCGTCAGGCACTACACGATGATTCCATGAACAATGGTGGTGGTCGAAATATGTTAAATAACACAGGTTTTCCACCGTTGTCGCCATCGCCGTTGTCGTCACCAGGGATCAGTCGTGCCTCTGGAGGTTATGAGTTGCTACCCGCACACTGGGATACCCTTCTGACAGGAGGGTCGGCCTACGCATGGCACCTGGCACTCCTTTTGTTTAACTGCGTTTTGTCTAAGGAGGGATGCGATTTTATTGCGGAGGCTCTTCTTCGCATTGATACTCTGAACGCCGTGTCAGAGTTTATTTATCGCGGTGTTATTGCAACACTCATGCTTCTCTGTGTGGCAACTCCAAGGAATGCCGAACTGCTTGCCGAGAGCCCAATCATTGAGGCACTTATTGCACTAATCACATGCTCTCAGGCCAGTGTCTTTGCCCATGAGGTGATAATTCTTGAGAAACTTTGCACACCATGCCGTGCGTTAAATGCGTATGCAATT